AATAAAACACCAAGGTCTATGGGCCTGACTCTGCTCATTTTTGATCTATATTCCAAGCCAAGTCCCCGAGGCACAGATTAAGAGCTGTAGTCAGAGTCGGGTACCAGAGCTGACCAACAGCAATATTTCCAGACCTCTCCTGATGTGAATCTTGTCTGGCCTGCTGCCCTCATGATATGCTCACACACGCACATGTGTAAACATCTGTAATCTCCCTGCCTGGAAGAGAAGCGACCAGAACCTCCAGCTACCTTCCAGTCCCATAAGCCCCTTAGCCTGGCCTCCTACCTCAGTTTCCCCTCTGTCTCACGTGACTTCTGCAAGCCTCTCCAAGAAGTGAAAGTCTTGAGTGAGACCAGCAGTTTCTGCAAGTTGTCTCTGTCTCATTTTCCTGGGATGCCCACGCTGGGCTGGCAAATAGTATGGGGCTTCTTCCTCTACAGATGGCACTTGCCTTCCCCTGTCTGTCTCCAGGTCCTGCGCATTCTCATCTCTTCTGCCAGGATCTGGGGCTCTTGGGCCCCGATCGCCCCCTCCTCAGACAGCCTATGGAGCGGTGAGAGCACAGGTGTACCTTTTGAGCTTCTATGGGTGCAAGGCTCTGTGCAGGCACAGTTAGGGAGCCACAGAGGTCGCCTACCCTATGAAGCTTCCATCATCTTTGTCTTTGCTTTGCTTCCTGTAAACTTCAGGAGCCTTTCAACCTTGGGTTAACTGCGTACCTCACCTCACAGATCACTCTGTGATCTTTGGTCCACACGAAGTAGCTCCCTTAATTTCCCTTTCCCCTTTCCGGCACCCGTTCCAGTGCATTCAAGGTGTATTCTTTTGTTTGTATGTATCTGTTTTTAAAATTAAATTTATTGGAGTAACATTGATTGATAACATTATATAAGTTTCAGGTGTTAAATTCTATAATACGTCATCTGTATATTGTGGTGTTTGTTCTCTACCCAAAGTCTAGTCTCCTGTCACCATATCTTTGACCCCCTTTACCCTCTTCATTCTGTTTGTATGTATTTTTGTAAAATATGTGTTGCCTTTTCATGTGCGTATGTCACTCTGCACACCTAGAATTGGACTATCAAGAGGTCATTCTGTCCCTTACTTTTTTACTCTGTGTCATTAAGCTGCACCTGTGTCGCTCTGTGTGCATTTGGTCTGCCGCCTCTAATTACTACATCATCCTCCATAGATTGTGGCTGCTAATTTTTCCTGTCTCTCCTCCAGCAATAGACACCCAGGTGGCCTCCAATTCCCTGTCACTGCAAATAGCGCAGTAGGGAGCATCCTCAGATGAGCTTCCTTGTGGGGTTGGAATATTTCTTTGAGATGTATATACTCAAGAACTGAATTGCTGGGTTGTAGGATCTACCCATCCTTAGGTATGCTAAATGGTGCCAGTTTCTTCTCTGGGGTGGCCATACCAACCCATTCCCATCAACCCATTAGAAAACATTGCCCAGCTTTCTAATTTTTGCCAGTCATACAGTGTCAAGCGACACTTCCATATTTTCATTTTGGAGCTTAAATCTTAGTAGCACTTCCTGGATATGTCACTTTAGGCAAGTCACAGCAAACAAGGGAGGTACACACTATGCCAGCCAAGTGCAGGAGGTTTCACAGCCCACTGAAGCCAAGTAACCTACATGAAGTCACAGTTAGAGCAGAACTGGGGTTTGAACCCAGAGTTCTCCCTCTTAACCACTGTACTGTAATTATCATGTTTTGTTTCTCTTCTAAAATATTATCTGAGTCTACACTACAAGCTTCTTGGCAGAGACTGTGTTTTTTACTTCTTTAGGGCCCCTGAAGAATTGAACCCAGTGACTTTCTTGTAGGAGATGCTCCGTAAATCACTGTTACAGATTTAGAGAAGAAAAGTGCAGGAGGTTTTTTAGAGTTTATGTGGGTTTAAGAGGAAAAGAACCAATTTGATCTATGAACTCCACAAAGATGCTGATTGGGAGCTGGTCATGGTAGATAAGCGTTCCTGGGCTCCTGCTTCCCGCCACCATCTGACCTCCAGAAGCAGCTTGTCATGAGGTTGCGGAGCAGGGCAGTGTTGGGGGGCGTGGCCCTGGGGTCATGGAAATGGGGGAAGGCTGACAGGCAATGAGGAATCTAAGCTCCCAAAATGCCTTAGTTGAATGAGCTGCCACATGCAGCCAGTGAAACTCAGGCTCAGAGGGGTAAAGAAATGTACCCAAGATCAGAGGCAGAACTGGAACTCAAACCCATGTCTCCAGACACAGTTCAGAGATTTTCCATTCCTTTCTCAGGGGAAGTCCATAGTCAGCAAATAGGGAAGTATTCCTTCTCACACTCTTTTATCACAGTGCAGAGAAGGGCTGAAGGCTTTTGGGGGCACCTCCTCAGACTCTCAAGGATATATATATTCCCCTTTCTGGGGGAAAAAAAAGCATCTGATAAACTGAGCCTAACCTCATTGTCGTCATCTGTTAAATGGGTGTAATAATACCAATTTCCCAGAGTTGCTCTGACAACGGAAAGAAGATAATAAATATAGAGTACCCAGCACAGCCCCAGACACAAAAGAATCTTCCCAGCAGAGACAGGATGTTACATTGACACAAGAAGAAGCTGTATAAACTGAACGTCGAGTAGCTTAGGTCTGAGTGAGGGCGTTCTGGTCACACTTGATTTCCCTTAAGGGAGAGAAATGAATTTCATTTCAGAAAACATTTTGGTGTATATGCTCTTTCAAAATATGCGGTATAGTGTGAAGTGAGGGTGGAAACGAACCCCAAAAGGGACTTTTGGTGGCAAAAGGATTAGGAATCTTTTCTCAGGTTGGATGTAGAAGGTGGTGGCTCCGGGGGAAGGGTAGGCTTAAAAAGGACCTTCTAAAAATACTGCTCATTTACCAAAATGACACAAACCACTCTTCTGCAGTGCCCCAGATGTTCCTCAAAAGGAGAAATCATCTTGCCACCCACACTTTCACTCACTGGGTGAGGGCAGCCCGCTGGGGGCTGGGGTCCAAGAGCACTTAGAAGAAGCTGACTTTGGAGCCAGGCAGTTGGTTCAGATCCTAGCTTCCTACTCTTCTCTCTGAGCCTGTTTCTTCATCTGAGAAATGGGAATACAAATAACTAATGTGTGAGGTAGACTAAGTGGGATAATGTCTATCCATCATGTTGTTTGGTGCCTGGCACTCACCTGTGAATTTTAATTATACATCATTGCTGTTGGTGGAGGGAGCCCGCCAGATGCCGGGGCAGGCTGGAGCCCAGGGGTAGGGAAGCGAGACAGACAGGGACCTGCCCTCCCAGAGCTCCTGGCTTCTATGATCTGCCCTGCCCTGTGCTGGGCAGCTGAAGGGGACTTTCTTCACTCCAGTGGGGTGATCAGGGCCATTTCTGTCCCCAATCCCCTCTGGAATTGCAGGTGTGGAGAAAGAGTCCAGTTGAGGTGCGTTTGAAGTATTTCCTTGGCATCTAGAGACACAGGAAACATGGATGTGGGAACCCCCGGGGAGAGAGGGTGCCAAGCTGAATTGCACGTAGATCTTGGCATGAGTGGGAGGCGCTGTGGCTTGTGGAGAGAAGTAGACTGGGAACCTAGACTCTTGGGTCTGAGTCTCAGCTCTGAGACATCCCAACATCATGGGCTTCCTTTGGCTGTGGGCCTCCTGTGTGCCTGGTGCGCCGCCCAGAATCCCTCTTGGCCCTTTGATGATCCCACAAGATAGGCTTCATTATCCCGATCTACTGGTGGGATCTACGAGAGGCCTAAGGCCTCCCCGCCAGAATTCAACCTCAGGCTCTCCAACTAGGTGATCTTGGACAAGCCATTTCAGCCATTTCAGCCAGGTGTTGAGTACCTTCCTCTGTCCAGTGTGCATAACACTCCATCATGCCTTCTCCCTGAGGTTCTTTGGGAGCTCAGATGGTGAGGGCATGATGGAGGCAGAGTCCATTATGAGCTGCAAATCCCTGTCTACTCGGAAGGAAATGCATAAAATGCAGGATTCATCTTGGGGGAACAGTAAGGGAGGTGCTGTGATATATGTTGGGGGTGTCTGAGAGATTTCTTCTTGTCTGAGTTGAGCCAACAACACAGAACTTGGCCCCTGGGGTGACTTTTCTCCCAGGCACCTTGTCAGTGATGTTAAAGGGAGTGTGACTGGGCCTTCTAGGTCGCACTGCTGACTGGGGGCGCTTTCTTGTTTCCATGGGGTTTCCTGCCTCAAAAAGACAGAAAGCTTGGCTTCGCAATGTGGTGACTCAGGCAAGAGTCAAAGAGGTAAGAGATGGGTAGTAATAGTAATGATGAAGATGATGCTGATGCTGATGATGATGATTAATAATGTGGTGACTCAGGCAGGAGTCAAAGAGGTAAGAGGTGAGTAGTAATAGTAATAATAACAACAACAACAACAACAACAACAACAACAACCACAACCATCATCACCCATACTGAGCTCATCATGTATATGTTGGATGCTGTTCTAAGTTTTCATTCATTAAGTGCTTATTAAGCCCCAGTCACCTTCCTAAGGGCTCTACATGAATTAACTTACCTAATTCTTATGAGTTACCAAGTATTATTATTCTCATTCTACAGTTGAGGGAACTGAGGCTGCAAGAGGTTTAAAACTTGAACTTGTCCGGGTTTCAGTGAGTTGGTAGGTAAGAATAGTTTCAGAGTTGAGCAATTTGACTCTAAATTGCCTTCTTTCTCTCTGGTGTTTGACCACATTTGGCGATGTTGCCCAGGGTTTGAAGCTGAGCTTGTCAATAAGTGAGGCTGGGCTAGACATTTTTAGGCTCCTCCCCATTGCATGTCCCGCCATTGCCCATCTGTGATAGTTACTTGTCCCTGTTCCTGCACCTAGACACAACAGGGGTGTTCGTTTGAATGAGAACATTTTGATTGGCAGGAAAGAGCAATGGAATCTTGTGCCGGAGGATCAAGTGCAGACTTGGCCACTGGCAGGCTGTGAGGCCTTGTGCAAGGCACGTCCCTTCTCAGGGTCTCATCATCTTCTCTGTAGAATGAGGGAGGTTGAAGGTCCCTGGCAGTCCTGATGGCCTATGGAAAAACGGAGTTTAAGTAACTTGACCAAAGTCATACAACTCATTCCTAGAATTGCTGGGGTCACTTCCAAGCTGCTGTCAGCAGATATTACTGCCTGGAAAAAAGAGGCAGATTGCTACAAGGTAGGCAGGCTCTCAATAAATAGCATAGAATGAAAATGGGAGGAAGGCAGCAGGTAAGGTTTGGGGCAGGGAGGTCTTCTCTTACCATCCTTGAGAGAACAGTAGGTTGCTTGTCTAGCTCTCAGGACCACCCAGGGTTTGGAGAAGTGGAGCCCTTTTCCCTCCCCCTCCTCCCAGCCTTGGCCCCACTCCAAGAAAAGGGCGGTAGGTCTGTCTTTCAGTTCTGCTTCCTCCAGTCATGGCTGGCTGGGCTTTTGATGCAAGCCTGTTGTTTGGGTTCCTGCCGCCGCAACCCAACCCGTTATAAACAGACAGCTCCACCCAGGACCCCTTGTACTGGAAAGTTCATTTGCTGTGACATCTGGAGTCTGTGTTGAGACCCTCCATAGGTAGTGAGAGTTGTTGATGAGTGAAAGGAAAAGAAGCAGCTGGAAAGTGGTGAGTTATGTGTGTTTTTTCATAATGTTATCCTCCACTGTCCTTCTCTGCTTCAACTCCATTTTCTTCTGGGCCAGGCGGGGGCACCAGAAGGCTCCTCACATCCTCTGGCCTTCAGAGTTGGCTGTCTTCTCACCTCCTCCAACAGACTTCCTCAGATTCCTTCCAGCATGTATGTGTCCCATGAACAATGGGTCAAATGGGGGGCCCCCTGCAAAAGATATGTGCACATCAAATCCCTAGGACCTGTGAATGTTACCTTATTGGGAACTTTGCAGATATAAGTTAAGGATCTTGAAATAAGATCACCCTGGATTATCCAGTAATGACAAGGGTCCTTATAAGAGAAAGGCAGAAAAATTAAGACACAAAGAGATGACATAACCACTGAGGCAGAGATAATAGTGGTTTGGCCACAAAGGCACATGTCAAGGAATGCCAACTGTTCCTGAAGCCAAAAGAGGCAAGGAAGGACTCACCCCTGGAGCTTCCAGAGGGACCGTGGCCCTGCCAACAACATGATTTTGGACTTCCGGCCTCCAGAGCTGTGAGAGAATAAGGCCGTATTGTTTTAAGATGCTTAGTTTGTGATACTTTGATGCAACAGCCCTAGAAATTGAACATACCATGGAATTTTAGACTCTGAACTAGGGAGCAGGCAGGGGCACTGGCACCACATAGGTGAGGCTTCATATTGGCTCTTGCTGGCAGGAGCTTAGCCTCTCTGAGCCTCAAGTTTCTGACCTGCAAAATGGAGACAGTGATGCCTACCTTCCAAGGTTAGTGTTTTGTTTCGTTTTGTTTTAAAAGCTTTATTGGGATATAATTCACATATCGTACAATTCACCTATTTAAAGTGTACAATCCAGTGGTTTTTTTTAGTATACTCACACAGTTGTGCAACCGTCTCCACGGCCAACTGTAGAACATTTTCCTCTTCCCCAGAAGAAACCCCCATACCCATTAGCAACGGTTTTTTTCCCACAAATCTCCCCTAACTCTAGCCAACCACTAATCTACTTTCCGTCTCTAAAGATTTGCCTGTTCTGCATATTTCATATAAATGGAATCATACAGTGCGTCGCTCTTTGTGCCTTGCTTCTTTCACTTGCCGTCATTGTTTTCAGATTTCATCCATGCTGTAGCATGTATCAATCAGTACTTTACTTCCTTTTATGGTTGAATAACACTCCATTGTACAGATTTACCACATTCTGTTTATCCATTCACCTATTGATGGACATTTGAGTTGTTTTTGTATGTTGGCTGTTATGAATTATGCATCTATGCGGTTATGCTCTGTATACAAGTTTTTGTGTGGACATGTCCAGGGTTGTCTTGAAGATTAAATGAAGTAGAATCTAAGATATCTGATGTGTCCTCCAACAAATGATAATGTGGGATCTTACAGAGAATCTGTCCCAACTGCTTCAATTTATAGATTGGGAAACTGAGGCATAAAAAGGGACAGAGACTTGCTCGAGGTCACCCACAGCAGTAGAGCATAACAGTTAAATGCAGGCCTTTGAGGCAGACTGCCCAGAACCAAATCCTGGTGCATCTTGAAGCAGAGTTACCTTATGTAAGTCACTTCACCTCTCTGAGTCTCAGTTTACTTGTGTGTAAAATGAAGACAGTAATAGTACCTGCCTCATATGGTTGTTGATGTGGGGATTAAATGTGCTAACCCATGTGTCTGGCACATAGTAGGTGCTCTACCGGTCTTAGCTGTCACTATTCATGGCAGCACAACATGTGGAACTCAGGTCCTCCAGCTCACAGGTGTAAAACATCTTGACTCTGCGCTTCCCTGGCTCCCTCTCCTGTATCATGGGCATCTTTCTGGTGTGATTGTAAGTCCCTCGAAAAAAAGGGAATGTAGCTCCCCACTGCTCTGAGCATGTAAAAGGTGCTAAATTCCTCGAAAAAAAGGGAATATAGCTCCCTCTCCCCACTGCTCTGAGCATGTAAAAGGTGCTAAATGAACACTTTTCTCACTTTCTTTGGCTCCTTTCAACCCTGGCCTTCACTGAGTGACCTGGCCGGACACTGTGGTAGGCGTTAATTCTCTGCGTCTTTTCAACATCCCTTCCAGGCAGTGGACAGTGTGCCGCCATGGATTTAGGGCCCCTAGAAGGCGGATACCTGGAGCTTCTTAACAGCAGTGCTGACCCTTTGCAGTTCTACCACCTCTATGACCAGATGGACCTGGCGGATGAAGAGATCGATCTCTGCTCAGGTGGGCTTTCCTCCCTCTGGCCCCATGCCACCCCATGGCACTCCGTGGAAAGTGCCGGCCGCGGAGCTCCGGTCAGCACCACGGACAGCTCCCGTGCCTGTGTGATGCTCTCACTGAGGACATCTCCCAGCCCCGCCGGGTCTCTCCCGCCTTCCCCACCAGCCCTCTTCCCAGATCTTTCCTGCTTCATTCAAGAGGCTTTCCCCCCACAGAACCCGACACGGACACCATCAGCTGTGAACAGTTCAGCAAGCTGTTGTGTGACATAGAAGGTGATGAAGAGACCAGGGAGGCTTATGCCAATATCGGTGAGGAAGTAGCCTGAGCCCAGATAAAGGACGATTGAGAGGAAAGGTTCCCACCCCCACCCCCGCTTTTGTGAATCTCATCTATTCTCTGTGAGCCACGGAAGGCCCCTCTATCAGAAAGCAGGGCAAAGGGGATGTGGGGTGGCGAGGGCTAAAAGGACAGAGACTCCAGAGAAGAGGGGATGTGGAAAATAGTGCGGGATAGACCCCTTCACTAATGACCCGCGGGCAAACAAAACCTCACTTTTACATCTTCTGCCTCCATTTCTATCCCTTTTTCTGTTTCTTGCTCTTCTTCCCTTCCCACAAAGCCCATACCCTACACCCTCCCCTTCTCTGTCCCCCGCCAAACTACTCTAGTATTTACACTGCTGCATACGAATCACTGGCTGTGTGTTATCACATCAGATTCTTACAACAAAGGGAGTAGAAACTGTTCACATCTCCATGCGATGGAGATTTAGAGAAGTGAAGCAATCTACCCAAAGCTGCATTAGAGATAGTAATGCCCGCGTCTGAAATGCTAACCTACATCTTTCTCGTTTCAAAGTCCTTATTTTTAACCACAAAAAGGGAAGTATCTGGGGTGGGGAGGTTTGGTGAGGCTTAAGCTGAGAGGCTGGTTTGCAGCTTTGAAAAAGAGCTACAGCTTTCAGATAAAGGAAGAACTCTCTGGGAAGAGGTGTTTCTGCTGTTCTTGTTTTTGCGGGGTGGGGATGGGGTAAAGGATCTCTCCTCGTCAGGATCACCACTGTCTCATACAGAGGCTTTATCAAATTAGAAAAAGATGCCCCGTCTTCTGGAGGACGCAGCCCCCAACAGGAAGTAACAGCTGAACTATCAAAGTGCAGGCTGAATTTCCTGCCCCCATTTCCCCGTTAGCTGGGCACCCTTGCACCATGAACAACCTAACCTGTACAACTGTTCTTAGTGGCCCTTTTCCTGGAAACCCAAGAATCACATCACTCAGGAGGTCTGTGCTTGGCACCAATGTGGCTAGGCTTCCCCCAGCACGCAGCTCACCCTGCATCACACAAGGGCAGAAAATGGCAGGGAGCAGTAACTGTGTGTCTCAGAATTACAGAACTGAGAGTCTGCCTACTTCCTCGCCTTCCTGAGACTTTACTTGGGGGAAGCAGAAGTGTTTGGGAATGAAGGCACTCACATTTCCTCATAATCGGAGGCAGTAAGAAAGGGTTTGGGGATCGCTTAGGATTTTCCCTTAGGGACGTCTACACCGGAAACGGAGCTGCCTGAGTAAGTGGAAGAGGCAGCTTCACTCGTGTGCTCCTCAAGTCTGCTCCTAGAAGGCCACATCCTGGCTTGGGCATGCAGTCATTGAAGCATCCCAAAATATTATGTTGGCTTCCATATGTGTAAAATGGGAATAATAATTACACCAGTTTTGTGGGATGGGTGTGAGGGTTAAATAAGTTCTGTGCGTAAAGTAGTTAGAAAAGGAATTTGCAAAGAGTAAGCAGGCAATAAGTAGTTAACACCCCACCACTATAATCATCCCCATCCCCATCCCCATAACTGCTGCCCTCACTTCATTCCTCAGCTCAGAAGCCTTTTGTGGCTCCCATTTGCCTCTAAACTCAAGTCCTAACCATTTCCAACATGAAACGACAGACATCTCTCTCTCAGAATTTACCACGCATTACCAAACACCTTTCCCCACTACTCAGAACGCCCTCCACTTTCCACCTCTCAGACACCGCTCCATCCCACTATATACTCTCTCCTCCAGCCTCCTGCTGCAATTACTGTCTTCCCATTGGTTCCAAGCCACGTTCTACTTCATATAATTCACCACTATTTGTTGAGTGCCTAGTGTATTCTGACTACTGCGTCGAATGCTTTAAATGCAGAGCCTCCGATCTTCACCATCCATCCCTGGCTTAGGGGCATTATTTACTCTCATTACACAAATGAGGAAATAGAGGCCTCGAGAGGTTAAGTAAGTGGCCCAAGGTCACACAGCTCAGAGAGCTAGTGTACGGTAGAGCTGGAATTTAAACTCAACCGCGCTGCGTTCCACTACTTTATAGCAATAAATGAGTTTTCATGAGTACATACCTCATCCCTTCAATTAGATTAAGGGCCCACGAAGGCTCAGTGTTTCTTCATTAATTTGATCATTCGTTCCGCAAACGTTTATTGAGCCTTACTGTGTGCCAAGCCTGGAGGGTCACAGCTCACTGGCGCATAGCCCAAGGCCTAGTACACAATAGGGATTCATGAGAATGCATTGATTCACTGTACTTTTCCTTGTCTGGGCAGCGGAACTGGACCAGTACGTGTTCCAGGACTCCCAGTTTGAGGGCCTGAGCAAAGACATTTTCAGTAAGTTGGGGAGCTCTTGGTTCAGCCTGCATTTCTTTCCTGTTCCTTGGGGAGCACCGTAGTACCCGATGGCCACCCTTCAGTGGGTGGTCGTGTCCCTCCCCGACATGGGAAGAGTGGAGGTTCAGCTTGGGTGTCCATTGACTGGGCATGTTAATGTCTTTGGTTTTTCTTCAAAGTCGAGCACATAGGCCTGGAAGAAATTATCAGTGACACCATGGAGGTGCTGGAGGAAGCAGGACAGAAAAGTCAGAAAAGACGTGAGTGAGCCCCTCCCCGACCCGGCCTAGCTCTGCCCGAGTCCTGGCCCTGCCTTGGCTCCAAAGCCTGTCATGGCTCCCATTTCCTTCCCTCATTGAGTCCTGTCCAGTCCACTCGCCTCTCCCCTTACCACTGCTCCCCGGTGACCCAGGGAGGAAGCAGATGGCCGTGTGCTTGTGGCCACTCTGCTGATGGATCTCTGACCCTGGCTGTACTGATTGCCGTTTCCAAAGGGACTTTGGGCTCTGGCTTCCCTTTCGTCCTTAGTTGTCACCCCTGTATTTGAGAGAGGTCTCTTCAAGCACAGGTTTTGGAGTCAGCAAGAACTGGCTTTTAGTCCTCTGTCTGCTGTTTATGGTCTCTGTGACCTTGGCAAGTACTTGTACTTCTCTGCCTCCTCAATCTGGCCTCACCTGGCAGCCAACATGAGCTTTTAAATGCATATCAGATCATTTCATTGCCCTACTAACCTTCCAATGGCTACAAAATACGTACTGCAAGGCCTGTATGACCTGACCCTTCCCACCTCTCCAAACTCCCCATGAGCCACTCTGCTCCAGCCACATTGGCTTCTTTCCTTTCCTGTAACCCACGTACCCTTTCCAGCTCAGGGCCTTTGCACTTGCTGTTCTCTCTATATGAAATGCCCTTCCCCTACTTCTTTTCATGGCAAACTCCTTCAAATCTTTTAGGTCTTGGCTAACATATCACATCCTCCTGGAGGTCTTCCTTGACCACTGTTTCACATAGATTATTTATTTCCCCTTGTCTGTGTCTCTCTTAGCACCTTAGCACTTGTCACAATCTAGACATACTTTATTTATTGCCTTTGGAGTCGTCTGGAGTTGTCTGCCTCCAGGGAACACCCCCTCCTTCATTCATTTCTTTCTTGTTTCCATTTAATAAATATTTTTTCTCTACATTCTATTATGAAAATTTTCAACATAGGCAAAGATGAAAGAATTGCACTACAAACAACCCACCACTTACATCTTATAATGCATGTTTGTCTATAGTTGCCTTGACACATCTCCGTCCATCCCTCTCTCCATCCACCCATCCATTTGTTTTATATTTGGAACATTTCGAAGTACATGCAGACACCAGTACACTTCCCATAGGTCCTTCGGCATCCTTGTACTTTTTCCAGACTGCTTGGTATTTCATTGGTGGGTGAACCGTAATTCGTTTACCCCTTGCTAAGGGTCACAAGGGTTTTTCTTCATTGATGTGCTAAGTGCTTGGTATTCACACGCTGATTTCCAATGTGCTTCTACAAGGTAGGAATCACCCCTACCCCCATTTCACAGATGAGAGATCATAGGCTCAGAGAGGCTGTGTTGCAAAGACACATAGTTAGGAAGGAATCAAAAGCAGGTTGTTTTTCATTTTTATTTTATTTTTTTTTATTTTTTATTTTATTATTATTTTTTTAGGCGAGGCAACCCTTGATGACCTCACAGATTGCAAGGACCTCGTCAGCTTACAATCCCTTATCTTTTATTTTTCATGCCTACAGCACCTGGTCTTCCTAGGTGGTCTCCCATCCAAGTACTAACCAGGCCCGACCCTGCTTAACTTCTGAGATCAGACGGGCTCGGGCTTGTTCAGAGTGGCATTCGTTTTTATTTTTTTAAACTCAAACTCATCTTATTTATCACCTCTGTGTTTCCACCACTTCCAGTGCCTCACTGCCCTGCGAGCCTTGAGGTGGGGTTGGGCAGGAATGGTCAGAGGAAGGGGAGGGGATGGGACCCCCAAGGCCACTTCCCAGCCATGTAAGGCAAAGCTGTTTGGCCTGCTGGGGTCCAGGAGCCCCTCCTGGCTTGGAACATCCCTTCCCTGGGGCTGATGACCTCGGTGTTCTCTCTGTAGCCTTTCCAGAGGAGCTGCCTGTGGACCTGAAGCACAGGAAGCTTGGTGAGTAGGGTGGGTGGGTCCAGGGAGATTTCGAGGCTGGAAAGGTCAGGCCTCCTCAGGTGCACATGTAAACTGGCATTTGAAAGCAGAGGCTCTGAGAGGTGAAGCCACTTATCCAAGATCACACAGCCAGTGAGAGGTGGAGCTGGGATACTCAGCTTCTCCTACAAAGCCTCTTCCCTAACAGCCTCCTCTTCTTTATGCTGAGTCGAGCTGAGCCCCTGCCCTTAGCCTTGTTCCACTGCCCCTCCAGGCCATACTTCTTCTTTTGGGGTGCAGAGTCCCCAAGGGTCAGCTGGTTACCCAGTGCCCTCCTTCCCTCCTTAGAACCCCATGCCTCAGTGAGCCTCTTCCCTCAAGCTCACCAGCTCCTCCCACCAGATGCTTCCTCCCCTTCCTTTCCACCCCCCTTCCTCTCCCCAGCCCTCTTATCTAGTCCCTTCCCCTCCCCTCCTTCTCCTCTCTCCTTGCACCCCAGTTGTTACTGCAAAGGTGGAAGGACCAGCCCCTGGGTGAGGACAGACTAAGGAATGAAAGGCTCTAGTAGAGGAAGCCAGGTCCCAGCCCTCAAAGAGTCCCGATCTTATGGGGAGATAGCAGCTCTGCCCGTGAAGACCCCAGGACAATGGAGAAGTAGAAGGACCTCCCAGTCTGATGGTGTGGGTAATGGGGAGAGTGAGTCTCTACCCTTTTAGATCTCCTCATTAAACGGAGAAGAACCCTGTCCCAGTCTGATGAGGGTACAAACCCTCCGTTCTTTGGGAAGTGCTTGGGGCCTCTTAGGGTCCCCCTAGAGGCTTCCTGACTGGCTGTAGAAGGTTGTAGGGGCCTGGGCCAATAGCCCTAGTGGCCTAATGGGGCTGCCAGTAGCTCTCCATCTTGGGAAGCTCTCAGGGCCCAGTCGCAAAGAGAGGTCTGGCGGCAGGAGGCTGCCTGGCACAGAGCAGCTGCCAATCAAACCAGCTTCTCCCAGGGCTGTGAAGAGGACAGGTGTGTCCTCCCCCTGCCAGGAGAGATCTGCTCTGCTCCTGGAGCTTCCCCATCCGAGCGAGGCCCCTCGGGCACCCACCCAGATCTCATGCAGCCTCTAACACCACCCTTTCCTCACAGCCGAGCCCCTCACCGAGCCCATGGTGACTGGCACTTTCCTGCTGGGACCAGTGAGTAACTCCTCAGCTCTGCCCTGCCTATCACCACCTGCTCTGTTCAACAATGATTCAGCATCCAGCCAGACCCGGCTGGAGGAAACTGCCCCAATACCTGGTATGTGAGGGGCTTGGAGAAGGTGGGCTTGCCCCCGCCCCAGAGGTGCCTAAGAAGTGACTGAGGCAGAGGCCACCGGGACAGGAACCCCACTGCCCACCACTGTCACCCTTTTCTGTCCCAGTCAGTCCCATCTTCAGAGACTTTATCAGTTCGGTCTGTAGCAGAGAATGTGCCCTGGAAGGAACCTTGTCTCCGGGAGGCACAGCAAGGAATCCTTACCAGTTAGGGACTGCACCTACATCAACTATGGAAGGAGCACTTTTCTGTGCCGGCCACTCTGCTAGGCACTGGGGATGCTGCCATGGCAAGACAGACATAGCAACCACTCTCCAGGAGATTGGAGGCCTTTAGAAAGGGAGTCGGATGTTAATTAAATAATCACAAAGCAGGATTGCAAACACAGGTGCTACGGAGGATCTCACCTCACTGCCTTTGTCCCTTGCAGTGCCCTCCTCCACTTCCTTGTCAAGCTGCCTGAGTCTCCCGGCTGGACCCATCCATATCATCCCCACTGTCCCCACTCTGCCCCAGGGGCTCTGGCAAATCTCAGGGACTGGGACAGGGGTCTCCAGCATACTCATCTACCAAGGTGAGTGAGCGAGGCCTGGCCCCCCACCCCCTCTTCCTGCTACCTAACTACTCCTGGACCCTGGCCCCACCCCTCCCCTAGTCATCTGACCATTGTAGCCCAGTACCTTCTCATGATCCTCCCGACCCAGAACACCTTTCCACGTCCCCATTTCCTAAAAAGCAAAGCAGAAGAGCTGCGCTCCCCAAGGTGGTCTAGGTGAGTGACCCACTGAGTAGCTAGCTGTGCAGCCTTCCATGTCACTTTCCCCTACTGAGCTTTGTTTTCCTTTCTTTTCTTTTTAAACTTTATTATATTTTTAAATCACAACATCAAGACGTGCTCATTAACAAGCCAAACAATAAGAGATGCTTAAAAGGGTTACTGAGTCTCTCCCTCACTCTTTTAGTTTACCTTGTGTGCAGTTTGATGTGCATCCTTGCACAGCTTTCTCTGAATTACCTTGTTTCTTGATCAGTCAAATGGTTCCTTCTGACTGCCACACTGACAGGTTGTGAATGGTCCAGGAGAAGGCATGTTTGGGTTTTCAGGGGTGGGAGAGAGAATGAGGCCAGGGGAACACTTCTACTCATTTGAAAAGTATACTTTGAAGGTCGCGTTCCAGTTTTTGTATGATGAGCTGGTGTCCCAAGAATCAAGGGAATGTTATACACATCTAAGAAAATGAGCACTGACCATACAGCAGGAAAAGTACCATAACAGCACTTGTCCTAAGCTCCCTATGAGCTGATTACGTCCATTTCACAGATGGGGCTCCAGGAGCTAGATGTAATTCTAGGGCTCTCTCCTCAACTCCATCCCGAAACGCCGTCCTTTGGAAGTTCTCCTCTCCTCTCCCCAGGCTTCCCAAATCCCACAGCCTGATTTGGGGTGGGAGATGACCCAGTGGGTTCTTGAATGGGCAACTGGTTGTTCTTACACTCCCTTCTCCCCCAATGTAGGCAGGATGCCTCAGGCCAGCCAAGCACCCCCTTCCAGCAGCCCAGCTGTCTACAGCCTCCCAAAGTCCCCAGATCGGCCCAGCTCTTCCAGCCCCTTCGCCCCATCTGCAGCTGACCTGCCCAGCATGCCAGAACCAGCCCTGACCTCCCGTGCCAACATGACAGGTAAGGATCGCTGGGTCCATGAGGGTTCTTAGAAGCAGGATTCAGGGCCTGGGGGAGGAAATTGCGTCAGACAATTATTAGATCCTCAAACAGCTGCCTAGAGGGACAAGCAGGCTGTGTTTATGTAAAGCAGGGCAGCAGGGGCCTCCAGGGAGTGGCGGGCATGGGGGGTTGGGCGAGGGGGACAACTTTCCCATGTCCCACCTAAACGGGGCCACCAGCCTTCACCAGCTTGTCACCTGGCAGGAAAACTGGCCCAGTGTGGCCCAGATTCTCTGAATTGTTAGCAGAATCTAGAAATCTTGATTTTTACATAGGTATTGTGATTTTTAAAACATTGGTGAAAAAAATGTAAAAGTACAGAGGCCAAAGAAAGCCATCTTTGAGCAGGCTACAGCTTCGGGTCATCATCTTCTGACTTCCTTCTTGGGGAGACCCAGCCCATGTAGGCTCTGCCCTCTAGATGCTCAGAGGACTGAATGCCAGAGGGAGGGAAGATTCTGGGGTACCCATCACCCTAACTCTGACACTACCTTCTTCAACTCCAGAGGCCCAGATGTCCCCCACCCAATGCCTAGCAGCTCACGAGGTCTCCAGCAAGCTTCCCAAATATCCTGGTGAGTGGTGGCAGGGTCCCTCTGCCCTGGGTGCTGAAGGCGGGAGCCCAAATCTGGCTTCACTTCACTCATTCACTCACCACGTATTTGTTGGCACACTCATTCATTCACTTACTCATTTGGTTCCACCATCATTTCGGCATTCATTCTGCCACTCACTTAAGCTTAAGTAATATTTTTTGAGGACCTACCTCTCACTAACCCCACAACATCTTGTTTGTGAGCCTGAGAAAATGAACCAAGGGAAGAACGGGTGATTGAGTGAGTGGATGAAGGAAGAAGTTGATGACGAGGATGAGCATGATAGAAGGTGAGAACGAAAGAGCAAGTAAGAGAATGGCCGAGTTGCTAAGCGCTTACTCTGTTCCAAGTCGAAGCATATTAAGTCATCAGTGTCGCACACAGCTCTCATATTATCCCCATTTTACAGATGAGGAACCTGAGGCACAGTGAGGTATATAACATGCTCAAGATTCCACTAATAAGTCATGGGACTAGGATTTGAACCAGACACATGGGTTCCACGATCTTAACACCCCACCAATGGCTACCCTATTGTAAGTGAGCAGCAGAAGAAGAATGTTAGTGAGTAAATGGAGTGGAAAGATAAACGAGTGAGAAGATGAATGAATGAATGGGTATGGGAATGAATGAATGAATGAATGAGTGGATAACTGAACGAGGCAACTGATAAAGAAGCCAGTCAGTGAAGACTGCATGGTGAACCGATTAAGAAGCTAGTGATGGTGGCCCGGCCGGCCTCTCGGCTGCCCTCATCATGGCCACTAGCATCCTTCCCCACCCTAACACACACCCCGCTTGGCTGTGCAGAGAGTGTGCGGCAGTTCTGCCACTCGCTACGGGACAAGTACCAGGCCGAGCCTGCAGGCCCAGAAGGCATCCTGGTGGAGGTGGACCTGGTGAGGGCACGGCTAGAGAAGAGCAGCGGCAAGAGCCAGGAGAGGGAGCTGGCCACCCTGGACTGGGCAGAGCGGCAGCCGGCCCGAGGGGGTCTGGCCGAGGTGCTACTGGCTGCTGGTGATCACCGGCGGCCGCGTGAAACACAAGTGATCGCTGTGCTGGGCAGGGCAGGACAGGGGAAGAGCCGCTGGACCCGGGCAGTGTGCCAGGCTTGGGCCTGTGGCCAGCTGCCACAGTACGACTTCGTGTTCTACTTGCCCTGCCACTGTCTGGACCGCCCAGGGAACACCTACCGCCTGCAGGATCTGCTCTTCTCCCTGGGGCCACAGCCAGTGCCCGTGGACGACGAGGTCTTCAGTCACATCCTGAGGAGGCCGGACCGTGTTCTGCTCATCCTGGATGGCTTTGAGGAGCTCGAAGCCCAGGATGGCCTCTTGCATAGTATGTGCGGGCCCACCGCAGCGGAGCCCCACTCCCTCCGAGGGCTGCTGGCCGGCCTCCTCCAGCGCAAGCTGCTGCGAGGCTGCACCTTGCTGCTCATGGCCCGGTCCCGGGGCCGCCTGGCTCAGAGCCTGAGCAAGGCCGATGCTCTGTTTGAGATGTCTGGCTTCTCAGCTGAGCAGGCCGAGACCTACATGGAGCGCTACTTCGAGCGGTCGGGGGCCGATCACCACCGAGAGAGAGCCCTGGCACTCCTCCGGGGCCAGCCACTCCTCCTCAGTCACAGCCACAGCCCCACCGTGTGCCGGGCCGTGTGCCAGCTCTCAGAGACCCTCCTGGAGCTGGGAGAGGAGGCCGAGCTGCCCTCCACACTCACGGGACTCTACGTCGGCCTACTAGGTCCAGCAGCTTGTGACAGCCCCCCAGGGGCCCTAGAGGCACTGGCCAGGCTGGCCTGGGAGCTGGGCCGCAGACACCACAGCACCCTGCCAGAGGACCAGTTCCCTTCGGCGGAGGTGAGGGCCTGGGCTGTGGCCAAAGGCTTGGTGCAGCCCGCCCCCAGGGCACCGGAGACCGAGCTGGCCTTCCCCAGCTTCCTCTTACAGTGCTTCCTAGCGGCTGTGTGGCTGGCTCTGAGCAGTGAGGTCAAGGACAAGTTGCTGCCACAGTATTTGGCATTGACCCCGAGGAAGAAGAGGCCCTATGACAACTGGCTGGAGGGTGTGCCACGCTTTCTGGCCGGGCTGGTCTTCCAGCCTCCCGCCCTCTGCCTGGGAGCCCTGGCAGGGCCGGCGGCGGCCACCTCGGTGGACGGGAAGAAGAAAGTGCTCACCCGGTACCTGAAGCGGCTGCAGCTGGGGACCCTGCAGGCAGGGCGGCTGCTGGAGCTGCTACACTGTGCCCACGAGGCTCTGGACACCGGCCTTTGGCAGCATGTGGTCCAGGGGCTCCCCACCCACCTCTCCTTCCTGGGCACCCGGCTCGCACCTCCAGACACCCATGTGCTGGGCAGCACCCTGCAGGCGGCAGGCCGCGACTTCTCCCTAGATCTCCGTAGCACTGGCATTGACCCCTCTGGACTAGGGAGCCTCGTGGGACTCAGCTGTGTCACCCATTTCAGGTAGGGGCAGGGGGCTTCTTTGCATTGGGCACAGGCTATGGTCTTGATACCATGCTGAGATGGCTCTGTGGGGTCTCATTTAGTGTGCACAGCAGCCAGCTGGGGGCAGAAGTGATTCCCTCCTTTTTTAAGATAAGGAAGCTGCGGCTCAGAGAGGGCCAGCAGCTTGCCCAGGGTCACACAACAATGGGCAGCATCATTCTTTCAACTAATACGTGAAGGCCTGCATGTGCCAGGCACTGAACCATGTCTAGAATCTAAGACTGATCTGGCTTCAAATTTGTTTTCTTCTATTTCCTGATAAAGCCACCATTGCATCATGGTTAGATTAAAGCCGCAACCTTCCCTCGCCCTCCCTGCCTCCATTCTCTCCTCTTCCACTCTACTCTGTATTTAACCATCAGAACAATCTTCCCAGAACTTGAATTTGACCGTATTCCACCCCTACTTATAATACTTCAGCCTAATCTCCAGAGAATCTCTCTCACCTTTTTTAAACATACTTTACCTAAGCTGTAAGGTCAGACACCATTGTAGTGGTTCAACCAATAATTTAGCACTGAGCTTCCTGGTAGCCAAAGCAAAAAGGGAAATAAAAAACAGTGGGAGAATTGAGAAAAAGGAGGAATCAGTAAGGGCTGGAGTAGTCATGGAAGGCTTTCTGGAGGAGGTAGGGGTTAAGCTGAGGAAGGAAAGTATCTGAATAGATAGGATGTCCCTTCATGTAGCTGCCGCTCCATTACGGTCTAGCCCGGTCACTGTGCCTGGGTCTGAGGCCTTTCCTCCACAGGGCCTCCTTGAGTGACACGGTAGAGCTGTGGGAGTCCTTACAAGAGCATGGGGAGGTCCAGCTCCTCCGGGCAGTGGAAGAGAAGTTCACCATTGAGCCTTTCAAGGCCAAGTCCGTGAAGGATGTGGAAGACCTGGGCAACCTTGTGCAGATCCAGAGGTGAGGTGGAGAGAGCATGGGAGGTGGTCCAGGCCATGCAGGTTGAAGGCATCTAGGACCTAAGATCAAGCTTGCCATTAGCATTTCCAATGCCTCCTCTCCTTTAGGACATCCTAGCACCCCTCCACGCTCCACACCCCCTGGGCAGTGGCCACCCAGAATCTCTCTCACTGCAGTCATCACCCAGGCAGAGCCCCCAGGACTTATCACTTTTTCCCATTCAAAACTTGCCATCATGTACCTAATGTTTTCTCAGCTAAAGCCAGGGACATACTCTCTCTGGCTAAGAGTTGATGAGCTGCCTTCTGCATCTAGTAACAGAAATGACACCTATGGCCACCTTTCAAGGCAGCCAGAGCCAATATTGTCCCCGTTTTATAGGTAGCAGAGCTCTTAAGGTCCACAGGGCAGAGGAAACTTGACTACGGAACAACTGGCTTTCATTCATGCCTTTATCATATATTGTTCAAGCACCTACTACGTGCTGTCGAGCACCTACTGTGTGCTGTCTAGGATGGGTGTTGGTAAGTGCCCACTCTGAGGCTCTTCTGTAACACACACAGTAATGCCTTAATAACATCTTGACCAGAGGTTTTTATTTTTAATGGGAAGTGGGGGGCGGGGGGAGTGGGGAGGGACAACAATAGCCATGAGGAAGGCAGTCTTTCCAGGGAATTTTGGGCACTGGGGCAGGTGTCCTGGAACACATAGGTAGGGGCTCAGCAGCAGGCAGAGAGCTTGCTACCATGTCATATTGCCCATTCTCTCCAGGACAAGAAGTTCCTCAGAAGACACAGCTGAGGGACTCCCTGCGGTCCGGGACCTAAAGAAACTGGAGTTTGCGTAAGCAAAAGGGTGGATTGTCTCGGGTCCCCACAAGGTGTCTTCTCCACTGTTAGCTGGGCTTGTGCCAACTGAATGAAGATAGGTCCCCAGAGTCATTCTTACTATTTGATCCCACCCCTCCGGGAACCAGTTTCCGGCAGCTAGAGCATGTCAGGTCTGGGATAGTGAAGCTACTTGGTGAACATAATCATTCAGATTCATTCGATATACCTACTCAGGTGACCAAGGTCATTGTTCTCAGTGAACTTGCAGTCTCATGTAAATAGACAGTTACCGCCTGCTGTGATAAGTGGCAGGGAACTCAAGGCTGACAACTCAGACTTGGAGGAGATCAGTGGACTTTCCGGAGGAGGCTGTTGAATCACTACAGCTTGACAAAATTGTGGGAGTGAGCCAGGTGGGAGGCCACGCAGGGCAGAATTATTATTTCCCCATTGTACAGATGTGGACACTGAGGCCCAAAGAATGTAAATTTTCCAGAGTCACAAACGTCAGGTCAGCCTGGCTCTTGCTCCAACAAAGAAAGAAGCTAAATTCATGTCCGGTCCTTGTTAGGGAATCTAGTCTTCTAATGATCAGGAAGGAACCATTAAACACCTGCAGAGTACTCAGTGCATTTTGTACATGATCTCGTTAATTTCAAGAGCATCGTTATCCTCCCCATTTTACAGATGAGGAAACTGAGGCCCAGTGAAGTTAGGTGACTTGCCCAAAGCCCCCCAGCTATCTGTTCTTCCCGATCACCACTTCCCCTGCACCCCAGAAAAAGTAGCATTTTCTGTTTTGAACAGAGACAAGTTGCCAGATTTGTGCAGAGTTAAAAATATTGCTGAAAAGAGGAAATGTATGAAAAGAATCACTGAGGGCCCCTCTGGCTCAGAATTATTTTCGGCTTAAAAAGCCCCTAGTTCTAGGTCGGAACTGTGCTCTATAGAACAATAGCCGTGGGGTGGAACAGGCGACCAGCCACCTGGAGGCCCAGAAGCCCCAAGAAAGTTCTGAGGAAGGAAGGAAGGAAGGGAAGGACTATTTGGGGTGTGTGACCGGCAGCCACTGTTCCAGGCACCGTGTAGAGTCTGACTCCTCAGCCACCCAGAAGCCCGAGGGACAGTGTCGGGAGGCAGGATCCTTCTCTGCTTCACCTTCACCTCCTGTCCTCTCTCCCTTGCTGACTCCACTCCGTCACATGGGTCTCCTTGCTGGTTTTCAGTCTTACTAAGCATGATCCAGCCTCTGAGCCTCTGCATTGGCTGCACCCCGGGCCCAGGATGCTCTTCCCAGAAATCTGCACCGCCCACGCCCTCACTTCTAGTTTTCGTTGAGCAAGGGCTTTTCCAACCCTCATTTTTAAAGGTAAAATTCCACCCCACTCGCCACTGTGCTTTTCTCCGTATCACATATTATCTCCCACTCCAGACAGTTTACCAATGTCTTTGATGATCTGTCTTGCCCACTGGAATGTCAGTTCCAGGAAGGCAAGGATTTCTGTGTTTTATTCACGACTGTCTTTGTGATGGGCTCCATGAGGCTTGGCTCACAGTAGGCACACAGTCAATATCTGATGAATGAATTCCTTAGTCCTTCCAACAGTCTCATAAGATGAGGGCTAAATTTGAAGAGATTGCGATTCAGAGGTGAAGGGATTTGCCCAAAAGACCCCAGGGGAGAGAAATGACAGAGCCCAGATTCAGTTGAAATTTTAGACTCTTATCTTGTGACCTTTCACTGAGGCTAGTGTTCCCAGACTTTGGGATTTCAAAGACTGAACATATTTCAGAGTGAATTTGAGTGACTATGTGCATTTACCATCTTTTAATTTTTATCAAGTACGTTCAAACAAAATGACCACTGCTGATGCCATCATTTTATCAAAATGGAACATTTTAATGTTAAAAACTTCAAAGGACATAATTTCAGAATAAAAGATAGTTCTTTTTTTTATATCGAGTACATTTAAATGTATTTTAAAAACAAATCAGCCCTCTGTTGTCTTTCTTTTTTTCATTCCCTTGAAGTCTCATCTAAAGGTTGATCCAGGCTATGTGACCTTGTATGAGTTAGTTAACCTTTCTGTGCCTCTATCTCCCCGCCTGTAAAATGGGGATAAGAAGTGCCCTTAGCTCAGAGTCATCGTGAGGATGAAATGAGATCTAATCTGAATGAAAGACACTCGGTGTGCGTGGCACATAATAAGTGTGCAAGAAATGGTTCTATTTGTTATTGAAACGTGATGGTAGCTAAGTAAAGCATCTTTCTAGGGACCAGTAGTGGCCTCAGGCCAGCATTTGGGAACCACTTTCCCAGGCTAGGGCAGGAGAAGGGTGCATGTAGATGTTGGCAGGAGTGAGAAATGGCTCCCTCACTCAGAGATAAAAACTGGGGAGCCCCCAGCTGGCTACTTGAGGGTGCTTTGTGAAATCTGAAAGAGCAGAAAGGACTGGGGTTCCATCTGGGAAGAGGTAAGGCACCGAGGAGGCAGGGAAGAGGAGGGGGCCTCAGACAGACCTGCCTTCCACGCCCTGTCTTTGCCTCACCCTCGGCCAAACTGAGGGGCCGTGACTATTTCAGGGTCTTACCTCTGCTCTTTACTTCCTAGGCTGGGCCCCGTCTTAGGCCCCCAAGCTTTCCCCAAACTGGTGAGGATCCTCGAGGCTTTTTCCTCCCTTCAGCATCTGGAGTAAGTACAGACCCTAGAACCTTCCCCTTGACCTCAGGTTTTGACATCTCAAACCCTGCCCTTAAGGCACAAAGAGAAGGGTCTCCCCTTTGTTCCTTTCTCTCCCTTCCCCCTCTCTGTTTTTCTACCTCCTCAATGTGTCTGGTGCGAGTGACCAGATGACCCCACTGCAGGGAAGGGACAGCAGATAGGAATCCCTGATTATTAAAAAAAAAAAAAAAAAATCGAATCCTTTTGTCAGCTTTGAAATTTTTCAGAGTTTCATGTGCTGCTCCCAGCAGACCCATGGGTAGGCAGTGTCAGGAAGCATGATCCCAAGGTACAATTGAAGTCCCAAGAGGTGAAGGAAGTTGTCCAAGCTCGTGGGGCTCCCAGGAAGCAAAGGAGAGATTCAGGTCCTTTGGGGGCTAGAATCTTGTCCCCTGGCTAGCCAGTAGGTGCCCCTGGGTGATGAAAACTTGCTCTCAAAGACTTGGGAGCAGATGCATGCTATGGTGTGTCCAGGGGTAGGGGGATGGGTCAGAGGGAGAGGGAGGGCCAGGTGGCCTCTAGGGAACTGGCTGGTAGCCCTCCATCTGATTTCACCCGCAGCCTGGACTCACTGAGCGAGAACAAGATCGGAGACGAGAGTGTTGCGCAGCTCTCGGCCACCTTCCCTCAGCTGAAGGCCCTGGAGACACTCAAGTGAGTGAGCTAGGCCTGCCCTGCCTGTCGCATTTAGTCCCCACAAGGCCAGCTGGCTTTTGAATTCTTCCATTCACTTATCCATTCAATCATTTATTCACGTTGCCATCCATCCATCCATCCATCCATCCATCCATCCATCCATCCATCCATCCATCCATTTATCCATTCACTCATTCACTTCTTTATTTAATCACTCATACAGCCACTTACTTATTAATCAACAAACATTTAAAGAGTGCCTACTATGTGCAGGTGCCATTCTAGGCCCTGGACACCCAGCTTTAAACAAAAAAGAAGAAAACGTAGCTCCTGACCTCAGGAGGTTCTAATGAGGAGACACAATAAACAAGCAAACAAACAAATCCCTAATTATAAAGTAGATAGTAATGAAAGTAAACAATGTTTAATGACAGAAAATTATGCTGGGGGTGAAATAAGAGACACAGATTAAGATTTATCATTAAATATCAAGATAGTACATTTTTGTTTTTTAAATAACAGTTTTGGGCTTTGGGAAGTAGGAACTAGATATGATGTAGAAAAATCAATATTTTTTTACTGAACCTAGAAGATATCATCCAAATTTATCCACAGTCCACTTCCTAACCATGACAGACTAGCCACAGAATTCACCAGAATTCACTTAGGGATTTCTTTGATGGTAGGACAGTGAGACTTCTCAAGTAGTTTATAGTGTTCTAGGTAACACTGTGAGTAAGCTAGATTTTCCTCCCTTAGTCCTTCTTTTCTCTTTCTCCTCTCCTTTTTTCCTTCCTTCCTTCCTTCCTTCCTTCCTTCCTTCCTTCCTTCCTTCCTTCCACTTCCTTCCTGCTCTCTTTCCTTTCTTCCCTCTCTCCACCTTCTCTCTTCCTTTCTCTTTTCATCCTTTCTCCCCACCACTTAAATTTTTATTGAGCACCTACTATGTGCTTGGCACTGCTGTAGGCACAGGGATACAGTAATGAACAAAGCAGATCCAACCCCTTGCCTTGTGGCGCCCACGGCCATTAAAACAAGAATAGGAGAACT